ACTGTTCCTCTCTTCACTCCATCTCTGTGTCTGTAGGTGGAGAGCAGCACCCCTAAGATTAAGCCTACTAATTTTAGCATATGTATCAGCATCTCATATCCCGTTCAATGATTTCACTTTCTGCAAAGACTGTTCTGTGTTAACATACTCTGATCCTCTCAAACTTCAAACCGCACTATTCATGAGAAAATAAACAGGCCTCACCCTTCACAGAGACATATGGAGCCATCAGATGAGATTCTTCAATTTTCTGGTCCTCATTACACCAGATCTTCTGCACAGCCCCAGGTCATCTTAGCAAAGACCCACCAGTGCACATAAGCTTTGGAGATGAATTTCCTCCCACCAGCCTGTGTCTCCGGATGGTACCTCCTGAGTCATTTATGTGTTACAACTGCAACCTTTCCCTCGGTGATCAGAGAGATAAATCTCATGGAGGCAGGCAGGCAACTTTCCCATCCTATCACTGCTATATTTTTGCTGCCAAGGACACAATAAGTAGTCAGCATTATAGCTTCTGAGGCTGTGGCTACAGAAATGAAAGAGGCCGGGATAGAAAGAACACAGAAGAAGACTTCCACTTCCAGGATTCTACTAAGAGAAGATCTGTGGCCACAAGGGGTCTCTACTTTAGTTTGGAGGCTTGCTCCAACTTCAAAAATACTTCTTTAAATATACATATATACATTTTAAATCCTTTGAAAAATATACTTTGTCATCCTTGATTTTATGTCAGATAAACTCATTTCAAAATTTGTACCACAAGATGAAATAAATGAAATAGAAAATGACCACAAGTGATGCTTACTCTTCTTTCCGTCCATATCTGCATGGATTTTCCGAGCCAAGAATCCGCTTTTGTACACAGCAGCATTTGGGTCGTGAGGAATGTCCAAAAACGGGTTAGTGGTGCTCCCGATGCGGCTGATGGTCTTTGGATGCGTTCCATTAGCCTTCTCATCAGTGCCTTCTGAGGGAGACTTTTTTTTCTCTTCATCATCTCTGAAAGGAAGAAGACACAAAGACTGAGACAAGCGTCCACCACAACATTCACCAAAGTTATCCAGAGCCATGAACTCTGTCTTGCAATGGCCTGTAAGTCTTCATAACCAACACCATGGTGACAGTTACCATTTACTGAGTGCTTCTCATATTCCAAGTATTGAAGAGCAGGATAGTCTTGTAAGACCAATATTACAGATATTAGTATTTAACAAATACATACCCAAAACCAAATGGAAAAAGAGATGAGGGCACGATTATCACATCTCTAAAGCCTCTTCTGCATTCACCTAGCACTAATGATGCTTTCATGTTTATTTCCTTTCAAACAGCTTTTTGAAAGTGATTATGATTCTGAATTTTGTATTTGGCAGGGCTTACCATAGAGGTTGAGCTATAGGAAACAACGAAAAATTCATAGCTTAAGCCTAAGGAATAGTTATGTCTGCCAAACAACCAGTCTCATTCCAATTATCAGAACTCCAAGTGAAGCTGCCAGTGGACTAGGATGATACAACCTTGGGCATCTTACACATGCTACACTTGCAACCACCATAAAGGCCTGGGCCACCATAGCAGTCACTAAGAGAAGCCCTATGTGCCTTGCCTGCTTTCTTGAGTCACTGTTCCTTCCAAAATAGGAAATTCAAATCAGATCTTGTAATATGCAATAAGCACAGAGGAGGCAGAAGATGGATGGTTGAGTTTGCTTAGTAAAGGGGAGGGGATGGTGGAAGAAAGTGAAGAAGCGCTCATATATGGCTGAAAAACAAAATCCCATAATAAATACATCTGTGTTAGTGCTGCTACTTCATTTTCCTGAATTTGCTTTAAAATTTAAACTCTTAGCTATCTTTTTAAATTAAACTGATTATAAAATCTTTTATTAAAACTTCAACATAACAATCAGTGAAATGTATTTTAAATTACAAAATCAATAAATCATCAAAAGTATTTAAACACTGGTGGTCATACAAAAATAGGCTTTTTGCTCCATTGGTATTTTATGAGTCACTGTAAGATATATGAACTCTTAAAGACCAAATTTTACTTTTATTTTACAATAATTTTAACCTTAAAGACCAGTACACTGTTAACATTAGTAAAAATAGCTATGGATTAAATTGAAATTTCCTTTTCATGAACCTCAGTGTTTTCAAATTAACTGTTTTTCTATTCCAGGACCACATCCATGATCTTACTGTGCATTTAGTTGTCAGGTTGTCTGAGCTATAACACTTACTGAATCTTTCCCAGTCCAACATTCCCTTGACATTTTGAAGACAAGTGGTTAATTGTTCTGCAGATTAAATTAGGCTTGTCTTATGTTTTCTCATGACCAGATGATGGTTACATTTTTTGAGCATAACACAGATGATAAACCCATCCTGGTGCATCAGATCCAAGTAATAGAGGTGATCAGTGATACTAACCACGATTATTTGGTTAAGAGAGAATCTGACAGGATTTTAGACTGCAGATTTACTATTTTCTATTTTGAATGTTTGGGGAGATATTTTGTTAACCGTGAAAGCATCTTATTTCTTCTGTTTATTTTCAGCTAATAACATTAGCACTCTTAAATGGATCTTTGCTTATTAAAACAAACTCATTTATTTTACATTCCTCAGTAAATGCGGATTTTTAAGAGGGTGGTGGGTGGCAGAAACTGAACTCAGTATCTTACACTTGTCAGCCAGGCACTGCACTGCTGAGCTATATGCCCAGCTCCATGAATGTGGATATTTATAACACTTAAAACAGTGTTAATGTTAATTAAAACATTATATCCATTCCTTAGCAACCACATACTTGCGTGTCTTCCATGACTACCATCTTAACTTTCCTAGGATGGCATCTAAATGGCTATTTTCACTTTACAAAATGCATTTAAAATTCATCCATATTATCATGTCAGTCAACAGTTCATTCTCTGTGTAGCACTATGTCATTTTATGAATATACTAGCTTATTCACCTACTGAAACACAATTACAGTAGTTCCTAGTTTTATATTTTTAAAATAAATTATTTGTGCTTGCAAACACCACCTTGCCAACAATATCAAGTATAGTATTATCAATCTCATATACATCAATCCAATCCAGAAGGGAAATTCTACCCTTCAAATAATTTATTCTGGATGAAAAAGATGTGGTATTTTTATACAATGGAGTATTACTCAGCTAAAAAGAATGATAAACTCGAAGCCTTTATATTGAAGTGGATGCCACTTGAAGATGTACTCATAAGTGAAATAAACCAGACACACATATGGTAAGTATCATATAGCCTCCCTAGTGTAAGAACTCAAAAGAAGAAATAAAAATAGAAAGGTATAAAACAAATAAAAGGAAAGTGAGAACTTGAGGATTAGACAACAAAGAGAGGGCAAGGAGAAAAGCTAGGAAACATGATGGGGCCAAAACCATACATTTATATGCACAAGAAGGTTAAGGCAACGATTCTGAGAATCTTCAGCAGGTTTTTGAAACTAGCAGTTAATTGGTTAGGATACTCATTCTAACTATATATGCTGATACCTGTGAACTAAGCAACTGCACTGAAGATAGCAATGTGTAACACTAGGGTCATGCTTGGAATGCCTGTTATTCTGTTCTTCTAAATATGTACTGCTTGCCATGTCATAGCAATTACTGCCATACTGTCTCTCAAGCAAATGTCTGTTTAAAATAAAAAGGGTAACAAACGAAAACAAGAGACAAGAAACAAAAATGTAACAGGACTGTCCTGCTACAGTGCTGTATATGGTTAGATTTCTAAATTTCTGGGTAAAAATGTAATTGTTTATTCCTATTTTTTACAATAGTTTTTACTTTTTTTTCTTCACATCTGTATGGACTTAAAGTTTAACATATCAGGGCCAGGGAGGTGGCTCAGTAGAATAAGCATTTCCTAGGCAAGTGCAAGGGCCTGAGTTCAATCCCCAGTTCTGGAGGAAAAAAAGAAAAAAAGAAAAAAAAAAGTTTAACATATCAATACTTAAAGGAAAATATCTGTTTCATGTTCTGTCTAAGATGTTTGATATTCAGACAGATAGTGAGGTTAAGCTCAACTGTCTATGTTATAGGGTAATAATATAATTAAGCTTCTCTTCTGGAGGGTTAACAACTTAAATTTGCAGACCAAAAATTAGAGAAAAAGAAGGGCTGAAAGGACAGCCAACACTTTGGGCCTAGCCTTTCAAGGTCGTGAGGACTCAGGACATAGGAGAACCTGTACGGTAACATCCTGCAACTCAGTAGTGTCCCAAACTTACTGATCAAGGAGATTATGGGGCAACAGAGGAAAGTGATCAATGATATAGAGTGTGCCTAAGGAGAGTCACATGGAGAGAAAACATTCTGTCAGGCTTGCACAGAGAGCAAATTGATCAAGCAATGGCCGTGACTCATCCACATGGCTGACACCGACAAAGGATCTACAAACTGTGGTACAGGGTTTCAGGGTAAATACTGAGGGGATTTGACTGATCTTGTCAGATACAAAAGTTACATTTCTCGTTACATAGGTCTTGCTTTATCTTGGTCTTAACCATCCAGCAGAAAAGTATAAAATTGAAGTATAAAAAGTAAAGTCATATTAATATGTTGAGATGTCAAAGGCTCAAGTCAACAACTTCTGATACTGCCAGTCCTACAGATAACCTACTACTATTATAGACTACAGGACTACATTGGATTATTTTGATGAATTCACATACCTACAATATTTAAATGGCAATGGAATACCTATCTCTGAAAAAACTAAACAAGAGTATATACAAAATAGGATAGATATATAGCTACTTTTTATTAATTCAATGAGAAGAAAGATTTGTACTAATAGTGTTTGGATGGGATATCATGTCTGCATTTTTGTACTATGAATAATCACTATGAAGACAACAATATACAATGTATTAATTATTGAAACTGTCCTATTAATCGGTTTTGAAACTCTCATTGCTATTTCTCAATAAAATTAATTTAAAAAAACAAATAATTTATTCGGTTACAAATAATTTTCATACTGTTCTAGCCCACAGCAAACATCATACTCAGTGGAAGAAAGTTGAAAAATTCTCTTCCAAAATTTGGAATGGCCAAGGGATGACAATTCATGCCACTTTAACTCAGTAGAAGACTGGCAGTCCTCCTTACTTAGAGAAGATGAAATACAAAGGCATCCAACAAGGAAACGAAGTAAGATTGTGTCTATCAGCTGATGATATGATCTGTTTATGTATTTAGTACAAGACCTAAAGAGTCTCGCTACCCAGATCAGACTCATAGTGATCCTCCTGCTTTCAGCCTCCCAAGGGCTGGGATTCCAGGTTCGTGCCAGCACACCCAGTCTCAATCACTGTCTCAGTGTGCCCTGGGGGCACAGCCGGCATGGCACTCGGAGACTGAACCCCAGCCCCTGTGTCTGCCCAAGCAGGTGCTTTTTAATCTGCTGAGCTATCTGGCTGGCCTGATATGATCTGATATACAGGAAATCCTAAGGACTTCACCAAAAAACTTGTTAAATTTAGTAAAGTTGAAAGTTACAAGAGAAACATACAAAAATTGATGGTGTTTATATAAAGCAAGAAAAACAGTCTGAAAAAGAAATGAAGAAAACAATCCCCTTTACAATAGCATCCAAAACATTAATAATAAGCAAGGAGAATAAAGATCTACGCACTGAAAACTATGGAAGAAATTGAAGACAACATGCACAAATGGAAAGTTATCCCATGTGAATGCACTGGACAAATTAGTGTTATTAAAAGATCCATCTTATTCAAAGTGTGATTATGGATTCAATACCAACCTATCAAAATTTCAATGTTATTTTACAGAAGAAATAGAAAATAATCCTAGAACTCCTGTGAAACTAGAAAAGACCCCAGATAGCCAAATAAAAGCAAAAACATCAAAGCTGTAGGCATCACACTCCCATCTGAGGAAACTGTCATTCCTTGGTATCACCAAGGAAGTCATTCCAGGACTCCTCAAGGACACCGACAGTGTAGAAGCTCACATTCCCCATACTGAATGGTGCAGTATCTGTACACAAGCTGTGCACATCCTCTGGTGTAGTTGAAGTCATCTCTGTATTACTTATATGAATATAATGTAAATTCTTTGTAAATGGCTATTGTATTGTTAGAGGGTAAGAAAAAAAACCTATACATATTCACATAATACACAGTTTCTTTTCAAATTTTCATTCTGTGGTGGGTTGAATCCACAGGTGTCAAATCCACAGATAAGGAGGGGTGACTAGACATTATAAAGTTGTAATAAAAACAGATAGGGGGATCCTCACTCCAGCCAGCACGCAGGCCCAATGTGTGATTCGAACTTCCTCCAACAGACAGCCCGGTGTGGAACCCTGTGGCAGAACTCCCTACAGAGAGGCTAGAGGCAAAACCCACCCAGCTGATCCAGGAGCAGAACATCTTGCCAGAGTGGCCCAGAGGGTTATGGCTATAGCAGGAAGAAGTGGAGCACAGCAGCCAGACCCAAGCCACACCCACCTGAACCAGCTTGAACTTGGTAGATCCAGATCTGGTGCTAAGGTAATAACTGCACCAAAGCTCTACACCAAGGTATTTGTAAATGACACATCTAAAAAGGTGCTAATATTTATCCATGTAGCTATGAGTAAAATAATTCATTAGCAAGAAGGCAATTTAAAATGTGTATAGAACATTTACTAAAAGAAATACAAATGGCTAATAGACACGTGACCAAAATGTTCAACATCTCACTCTGGCCACTAGAGAAATGCAGACTAAAACAACACTGAAATTCTATCTTATTCCAGAAAGAACAGCTATCATCAAGATAGCAAGTAGTAACAAAATCTGGTGAGGCTGTGGAAAAAAAGGAACCCTTTCTATTACTGGTAGGAATATAAACAAATACAAGCACTATGGAAATCAGCATAAAGATTCCTCAAAAAAAACAAACATAGAAATTCCAAGCAACCCTGCTGTTCTCACTGTGGCTACCTCCCCAAGAAGTTACAGTGACATACCCATATCTGTGTTTATAGCTGCAAATTCATAACAGTTAAACCTTGGAAGTGGCTTGTATGTTCATGAACAAAGTGATTTTAAAAAGTGTAGTGTGTATATGTAATGGAATGCTACTCTGCTGTAGAAGAGGATAAATTTCAGTCAGTTGTAGAAAACTGGATGTACCCCGAGACCAGAATGTTAAGTAAAATAAGTCAAACACACATTTTTAAATATCACATAGTTTCTCTTACATGAGAAACCCAAAATATAAATGAAGAGCAAAATAATTAATAGATGCTATGGTTTGGGTTTTTTGCAAGGTGGACAATATAGTACAGAACATGGTTTGTAATGGTATTTTATAATGAATCACCCAAGAATAACATACTACAAGTGCAGGAACTCTATCCACATACTAAATACTAACAAGTCCAGTTGAGGGCCTACAGCTCATAGCAAGGCCTCCCACTAGTCCAACTGGAAGCCTAGAGCCCACAACAGTCCCATGCAGGCCGCTTCATGGGTCTGTGCTGGAATGCCCCAAAAGTCAGTGGTGGAAGCTAGGAGGTCTATGCCACTGGGATGAAGGATCTGTGCTAGCAGGCTTAGGGATCTGAACTGGAGCTAGGAAGCAACGCTCAAGTTAAGTGCCAGAGCTCCCCCAAAAGTACCATAGTCATCCTTAGCAACAGTGAGGTCCTGAGCTCCTTCGATGATGTGGAAAGCCGAGTTCCCATCAGGAAAGCCAATGTGCCAAACTTCATGAGGCTGAGCAGCGCACCATCTTCCCCCCCCAGAGCCAGGAATTGATGCCCAAGATGAGGACCCAAGCTTCTCCAAAGTTCATTGGGAAAGCCAGCATGACAAGGTCCTCTAGCAGAACAGCCCATGTGAACTAGCAGCTTCCAACAGCTTCTCCAAACAGCATCCCTAACAGCATTTGGGCAGCTTCTCCTGTTCTGCCTTTATGCTGCTGGCAACAATCCTCAGGTGGGCTTCCTGCACCCAGCACCACGCTAGCTTAATTTAGGTGGGTGTAAGAAGCTGACCACTAGTCAGCTATCCATCACAAAAGGTAATAGAAAACAGGCAAATATTTTGCAAGAGTGGAGAGCAAGAGAAGGAAGAAGAGGTAGGAGAGGGTACACAAAAAGAACTAAGATGTGGCAAACATGTTCTAATTCCCCACAAAGAATGTAGTCACTATGTACTGTAAACGTACCAGAATCAGTAAACTTTAAAAAATATTAAGAGCAGAAAAAGTAAAACCACACAGTGTCACCTCACATCCATTAGAATAGTTACTGTCAAAAACACAAATTGGAGGTGCCTCCCCCACCCCGCCCGCCGAGTAGGATTTTTTGCCGAGTTCCGGGAGCCCCCAGACCCAATCCTAGCCCAGGTCCTGTGAGTGTGCGGAGAGTTTCCTGCTACCCTGCGCCGGCTGGACCAGTCCCAGCCCAGGCGCAGCG